ATAACAAACCGATGGCCGATCAATCAGTTCACAGTTCATTGCAAATGGGACGACTGGCCACACTTGTGCGCCAACGAGGCCCATTTTTATTTTATTGCCATGTCAAAACATTCGCTAGGTCAACGCTTTTATTATAGTCGAATGACACTGATTCTGATTAGTTATTTGATTTAGATTCATTCACTACTAAGAGTCGTTGTCTACGCTGTATCCAAGGTCTATGACCTAAGCTGCGAATGCAGCGTCCAGCAAACGGATTGATGCCGGTTGTGGATTTGAATCCTGTGGGGGCAAATTTTAGTGTGATGAGCATAAGCATTGATTTACACAGTTACTTCATAAGACGTGTCCACTTAAATAAGCTCATCATAAATACATAGAGCTAGGTTATCGACAAATTAGAGAAGAAAGGAAGCACATGGATATTAGTTGAAACGAAGTATTAAAAAGGCTACCGAGATCAGATATAATTTTTCTTACCCACCGACTGATTGTTGTTAGACTACAAAGAACATTACTTTTCTCTGTTGTTTACATGACTGTAATAAATACCTATCTTATTTTATTTCTTCTAAACTTTCAGATGGCGCGAACGACGCTCGCGCGAGCGAACGCCACGATGTACGCTTGGAGCGCGTGGGGCGCCTGGAGCGCGTGCTCGCGCACGTGCGGCGGCGGCGTCTCCGTGCAGGAGCGCCAGTGCCTGCCCAGAGCGCCTGCCAGGTGGGTCACCTAATAAACAGATGTAGGCATAGAGGGCAAGGGCCATCTAAAGCTAGTAGCGGGGATGTAGGTACATTAGCAGCGCTAGACAGATACACAACGACGCTAGAGTGAGCGAACGCCACGATCTGCATCAGGCATTTGAGCCCGTACTCGTGGACGTACAGTGATTGCCTAAAGCGCCTACCAGGTGGGTCACTTAATATACAGATGTAGGCATAGAGGGCGAGGGCCATCTAAAGCTAGTAGCGGAGGTTTGTAGGTACATTAGAGACGCTAAACAGTTACACAACGACGCTCGCGCGAGCGAACGCCACGATGTACGCTTGGAGCGCGTGGGGCGCCTGGAGCGCGTGCTCGCGCACTTGCGGCGGCGGCGTCTCCGTGCAGGAGCGCCAGTGCCTGCCCAGAGCGCCTGCCAGGTTGGTAACCTTTATGAGTCTACAAAGATGTAAGCTAGTAGCGGCGTAATCTAGGTACATTAAAAACGCTAGACAGTTACACAACGATGCTAGCGCGAGCAACGCCACGATGTACGCTTGGAGCGCGTGGGACGCCTGGAGCTCATCTTGATACAAGGGCACTTGCCAAAAGTTAAAAAGCTTATTTTTTACTTTATCTTGTGATTCACCAAAAACTCTTGATAATCTTCGGACTACTTGTGGTATAAATTCGTAATAATGCTTTATTTACTGTGTTACTCTTGCTATCTATGTGCTATCTACAAAACCTATTTCCTCAATCATAACTGTAAAGCACATTATTCCTTGGTTTAAATTAAATTGTATTGGGCTCGTCTAGACAACGGCCTGCGCGCACAATGCCCTGTCACAAGCAGTTCCAGCCGTGAATGGGTGTAATGATATTTACGGTGACAGCCCGCAGTCCAATCACAATTTATACAAACCGCCTTTGTGAGGCTCGGATGCGCGGGAGCGTGTGCAATGTCAAAAATACATCGTTATTTACGAGTAAATAACAACTGACCTTACGAAATAAAAATTACATGAGACCCAAAACATAATACAAAAAAGTTTTGTAAAAGGAGAATTTTTCGGCAATATCGCCCTTGTAGCATTAGTATTTATGCTGTGCCATAACATTTATATGCACTTGAAGATGGACGTCATTGCTGAAAACCTGAAAGAATCGACAAAATATTAACGGGTTAATTGGAAGGATCTGGTGGGAACTTTTTATTGCCGTGGGCCACGGGTACATTAGGTGTATTAAAATTTTCAAAATGTATCTTTTTTTTTACAAATTGAGACTAGGGGTCATGTTAACACAGAAGGCTAAGGCTAATACTTGCACATCCTTAAATTATCATGAAAAATATGATTCAGGAAGGACTCCATCAAATTAATGCTTTTACAGATTTATGTAGAGTTCATTTAACATTTTAAATGACATTGGGAACTTTTTGCCCCACTTTTCGAAAAGTAGCGGACACAAACGAAACCTATCACAGATGATACATACTAATATCCAATGAATTTCCGTGCATTTTTTTTTTCTCTCTTATATGGGAATATTGAGAAAATGAAGTTTTAATATTTTATTTTCTTTTACATTTAGGTAACATTTTTGACGACCTCCGTGGCGGAGAGGCGCACACACCCGTTTTCAAGGTGTGCCGGGCCAATCCTGAGGTCCCGGGTTCGATTCCCGGCCGGGACAATATAGAAAACGATCTTTTCACATTGTCTCTGGTTTGGGTGTGTTGTGGTTCGTCGTTCCCGATTTCCATAACACAAATGCCTTAGCTACTTATTTTGGGTTGGAGTAATATATGAGATGTTGTCTAATATTAATTTAAGTATTTATAATATTTTATTTATTTATATTATTTTATTTATATTTTTTATTTATTTATATTATTTTATTTACTTTTATTGGTTACTCTGCAATGCCAAACAACATAACATGTAAAAATATCAAATCATTTTAGGCTAGTGCGAGCGAACGCCACGATGTACGCTTGGAGCGCGTGGGGCGCCTGGAGCGCGTGCTCGCGCACGTGCGGCGGCGGCGTCTCCGTGCAGGAGCGCCAGTGCCTGCCCAGAGCGCCTGCCAGGTTGGTAACCTATATGAGTCTACAAAGATGTAAGCATAAAGAGCTAGGGCCATCTTAGTAGCAGAGGCGAGTACGTGTAGCTACACTAGGTTTGACTCAGAGTGCCTGTAACTTAATCGGGAAGGTGCTAGTGCGAGCGAACGCCACGATGTACGCTTGGAGCGCGTGGGGTGCCTGGAGCGCGTGCTCGCGTACTTGCGGCGGCGGCGTCTCCGTGCAAGAGCGCCAGTGCCTGCCCAGAGCGCCTGCCAGGTGGGTCACATAAAATACACAAAAATACACATGGTGTAGTCATAGAAAGGGCCATCTTAGTAGCAGAGGTGAGTACGTGTAGCGACACTAGGTTTGACTCAGAGTGCCTGTAAGGTATACATACCTAACGAGCAGTTGCTAGTGTGAGCGAACGCCACGATGTACGCTTGGAGCGCGTGGGGCGCCTGTGCCTGCGCCCTGCCCAGATCGCCTGCCAGGTGGGTCACTTATAATGTATGATGTAGCATACGAGCGAGGGCCGATCTAAAGCTAGACGTTAGCTAAACTTACGTAGTTACACAAAGACGCTAGCACGAGCGAACGCCACGATATACGCTTGGAGCGCGTGGGGCGCCTGGAGCGCGTGCTCGCGCACGTGCGGCGGCGGCGTCTCCGTGCAGAAGCGCCAGTGCCTGCCCAGAGCGCCTGCCAGGTGGGTAACCTATATGAGTCTACAAAGATGTAAGCATAGAGAGCTAGGGCCATCTTAGTAGCAGAGGCGAGTACGTGTAGCGACACTAGGTTTGACTCAGAGTGCCTGTAACTTAATCGGGAAGGTGCTAGTGCGAGCGAACGCCACGATGTACCCTTGGAGCGCGTGGGGCGCCTGGAGCGCGTGCTCGCGCACGTGCGGCGGCGGCGTCTCCGTTCAGGAGCGCCAGTGCCTGCCCAGAGCGCCTGCCAGGTGGGTCACTAATATACAGATGTAGACTTAGAGAGCGAAGGCCTTCTAAAGCTAGTACCGGGGTAATGTAGGGACATTAGAAACGCTAGACAGTTACATAACGACGCTAGTGTGTGCGAACGCCACGATCTACATCAGGCATTTGAGCCCGTGCTCGTGGACGTACAGTGATTGCCTAAAGCGCCTGCCAGGTGGGTCACTTAATATACAGATGTAGGCATAGAGGGCGAGGGCCATCTAAAGCTAGTAGCGGGGGTTTGTAGGTACATTAGAGACGCTAGACAGTTACACAACGACGCTAGCGTGAGCGAACGCCACGGTCTACGCTTGGAGCGCGTGGGGCGTCTCCGTTCAGGAGTGCCAGTGCCTGCCCAGAGCGCCTGCCAGGTGGGTCACCTAATAAACAGATGTAGGCATAGAGGGCAAGGGCCATCTAAAGCTAGTAGCGGGGATGTAGGTACATTAGCAGCGCTAGACAGATACACAACGACGCTAGAGTGAGCAAACGCCACGATCTACATCAGGCATTTGAGCCCGTGCTCGTGGACGTACAGTGATTGCCCAGAGCGCCTGCCAGGTGGGTCACCTAATAAACAGATGTAGGCATAGAGGGCAAGGGCCATCTAAAGCTAGTAGCGGGGATGTAGGTACATTAGCAGCGCTAGACAGATACACAACGACGCTAGAGTGAGCGAACGCCACGATCTACATCAGACATTTGAGCTCATGCTCGTGGACGTGCAGTGATTGCCCAGAGCACCCGCCAGGTGGGTCACTTAATATACAAAGGTAGGCATAGAGGGCGAGGGCCATCTAAAGCTAGTAGCGGGGGTTTGTAGGTACATTAGAGACGCTAGACAGTTACACAACGACGCTAGAGTGAGCGAACGCCACGATCTACATCAGGCATTTGAGCCCGTGCTCGTGGACGTACAGTGATTGCCTAAACCGCCTGCCAGGTGGGTCACTTAATATACAGATGTAGGCTTAGAGAGCGAAGGCCTTCTAAAGCTAGTACCGGGATAATGTAGGGACATTAGAAACGCTATAAAGTTACATAACGGCGCTAGCGCGAGCGAACGCCACGGTCTACGCTTGGAGCGCGTGGGGCGTCTCCGTTCAGGAGCGCCAGTGCCTGCCCAGAGCGCCTGCCAGGTGGGTCACTTAATATACAGATGTAGGCATAGAGGGCGAGGGCCATCTAAAGCTAGTAGCGGAGGTTTGTAGGTACATTAGAGACGCTAAACAGTTACACAACGACGCTCGCGCGAGCGAACGCCACGATGTACGCTTGGAGCGCGTGGGGCGCCTGGAGCGCGTGCTCGCGCACGTGCGGCGGCGGCGTCTCCGTGCAGGAGCGCCAGTGCCTGCCCAGAGCGCCTGCCAGGTGGGTAACCTATATGAGCCTACAAAGATGTAAGCATAAAGCGCGAGCTAAAGATACTGACTCTAGTAACGGGGGTGAGCACGAGTGGGAGCGCTACAGCTTATAGAGTGCCTGCCAAGTGGTTCACTTATTATACGTTTATTGTAGCATACCTACAGAACGACGGCCTTCTTAAGCTAGTAGCGGCGTAATGTAGGTACATTAAAAACGCTAGACAGTTACACAACAACGCTAGCGCGAGCAACGCCACGATGTACGCTTGGAGCGCGTGGGACGGCTGGAGCTCATCTTGATACAAGGGCACTTGCCAAAAGTTAAAAAGCTTATTTTTTACTTTATCTTGTGATTCACCAAAAACTCTTGATAATCTTCGGACTACTTGTGGTATAAATTCGTAATAATGCTTTATTTACTGTGTTACTCTTGCCATCTATGTGCTATCTACAAAACCTATTTCCTCCATCATAACTGTAAAGCACATTATTCCTTGGTTTAAATTAAATTGTATTGGGCTCGTCTAGACAACGGCCTGCGCGCACAATGCCCTGTCACAAGCAGTTCCAGCCGTGAATGGGTGTAATGATATTTACGGTGACAGCCCGCAGTCCAATCACAATTTATACAAACCGCCTTTGTGAGGCTCGGATGCGCGGGAGCGTGTGCAATGTCAAAAATACATCGTTATTTACGAGTAATTAACAACTGACCTTACGAAATAAAAATTACATGAGACCCAAAACATAATACAAAAAAGTTTTGTAAAAGCAGAATTTTTCAGCAATATTGCCCTTAAGTAGCATTACTATTTATGATGTGCCATAACATTTATATGCACTTGAAGATGGACGTCATTGCTGAAAACCTGAAAAAATCGACAAAATATTGACGGGTTAATTGTAAGCCGTGGGAACTTTTTCCCAGCCGTGGGCCAACCACATTAGATGTATTAAAAATTGTGCAATGTATCTTTTTTTACATTTTTTACAAATTGAGACTAGGGGTCATGTTAAAATTAACACAGGAAGGTTAATTAAACCTACACAAACACATCCTTGTTATGAAAATTATGATTCACGTCACGAATGAAAACTCCTTAAACTTGCTATTACAGATTTATTTATAGTTCATTAAATTAGAACATTACAAATTGACTAACTCTATCAGTGTAAGAATAGCCAGTGGCGGCGTAAGGCGTAGGCGACGTGGGCCACCGCCTACGGCCTCGCGGAACAAGGGGCCTCGCGCATCAAAAATTTTGCTCACATGTCAAATTCAACTTTTAAATAGGTACTATTAATTAATACTAGCTTTTGCCCGCGGTTTCACCCGCGTGAAATTTAGTAGTATGTCACAGATCGTCATAAATTATAGCCTATATGTTAATCTGGGTTATAAACCGTAATACTGTAAAGTTTCAACAAAATCCGTTCAGTAGTTTTTGCGTGAAAAAGTAACAAACATCCAGACATCATGACATCCAAACTTTCGCATTTATAATATTAGTAGGATAAATTATTGATAGCTAAACAATGTAGTTAATTTTTTTTTCCAAACAAATTCAGCCATAATCAGACACAAAATTAAGCAACAACACGGTTTTAAGTGACAAACATTATTTTTTGGCGCAAAATTCCTTTAAAAATAATCACTGAATCAAGAAATCATAAACTGTCAATGTATAGACCATTGACCCGTTTTTTTTTATTATTTCATAAAATCCGTCTTCAGGTCGCCACAGAACAAGGCCTCGCGAAATCTGTCTTGCCCACATCAAATTTAGGTCTTGCCCCGCCACTGAGAATAGCCTTCTTGTAGTTCCACAAAAAGCTCACACCAGACGATGAAGGACCGTAAATCAAAGTTTAGAGACAACTTTAAAATACATAAAACGCAAAGCCCTTTCCATGTACCTATACAATATGAAAATACCATAGAGTATAAAGATCGTTTATCGTCTTTTGTCCTTGGTTCGAACCATAGACTGTTTAAACACGTTGTAAATCTCCGTGACGTTTCCACCGGGATGGTGTCGCTACTGTCTTTGAAGGTCGTATATTACGCGTGTATGTCACTGCGCAGGACAGATGCATACACAGAAGGGATAAAATGACCACAAATGGTTAGGGCTTGCAGAAGACTGCGTTTTTCAAAATTTGAGCAGTTGGTTAGAAATACTAAATACCTAAATAACCACTGTAGTGGATAGTTATGTATTTGAAATGGATAAAATAATACTTGCACCCAACTTTATCAATAAAGTTATTTAATTTTTAGCGTTAAGAGTCGCATCTCAAACTAATTTGAAAATTATAAACAACTTCAAAAAATCCAATTGCCTAAAGAGGGAATTCCCGGCAGTTCGATTTTTTCAAGTTATTTATAAAAGTTATTTTACATTCTTACAATTATTTTGCTTCATAATGTTACAAGCCAGCTTTACACCAGACTGATCGATCAGGTGGTCTCAAGAACAATTTTATTGAAAGAAAAAGGGGTTAATTTCAATCAATCGTTACCAAGTGTGGTAAAGTTCATATTAATTCAGCTTGCATTGATACTTCTTATGATGATTATGATAATAAAGAAGACATAAAAAATAGCGTTTTCAGGTATTTTATATGCCAAGTTTATACACTGTTAAAATCTAAGATTAATGATTATGTCTCTATACATAATAAACCGTAAACCACATTCCTTTACTATAAACAAATAAGATCAAAATAAAATAAAAAATAACAACTATCCTCTCTTAAACCGATAAAATTAAAACCCTCCTCATTATTCCACTTTCTTAAATTCATTTAAAAACCGTATTCGTGTCTGACACGGAAAAACAAACAAACACAATGAAGAAGATAAACGATACACCCCATTGTTCGTGGTTATTGTCTTAATTATTTCATTATGGGATCGTACCAGCTATTAAGATTGGGCCCCGTGTCCAGCGATACAGTTATCTAAAACTTTAACGCTCGTATTCCCAAACATTACTATGAGGTCTCACAGTGCGCGCAGAGTAAATACAAATGAGTAGGTCATCTTCATAGAAACGCACTGAGCGCGGTTTGTATGTGTGAGCGCGCGCCAATACGTATACGGCGCGCACGCATACACTGACAAAATTCGGGGCAACTCGCCTCTAATCCACGCTACATTTTGTCAGTGTGTGCGTGCGCGCCGCATACGTGTTGGCGCGCTCACATACAAATCGCGCTCGGGCGTTTCTATGAAGATGACCTACTCATTTGTATTTACTCTGGTGCGCGTGAACGCACAGGGTGACACATGAACCAATCACAGAGCTGTATTCAACGCTGTGCGTTCGATTTGCTGCTTCACTTATGCAAGCGTTTGTGAATACGGGCGTTAGTTGTTTCATTATGGGATCGTACCAGCTATTAAGATTGGGGCCCGTGTCCTGCGATACAGTTATCTAAAACTTTTAGTTTGAGAAATAAATATGTCAGATTGGAGTTCAATGCCTCCTTTAAGGGCTGCCAAATGTTAGATTTTTATTTGACTCTACATTATCTTGACCGAGCTCAAAAAGGACGAAGTTGCAAAACAGTATTTTTTTTTTACATATTATATGAGTACTTAAATGAGTAAATGAGGCATTATTTTTGTTCACTAACCTATTTTATCGTCAATTTTAATTTCAATCAGATACTTTTACTACCTTCACTTTAATTTTAAAAATAAAATTGTTTACAAAAACTAGACTTAAATTAATGAGTCAATTTTCTCATAATATTACTTATTAGAAAATACCTAAAAGGTTTCAATTTTGGTAACATTGTGTATAATCATTTGACTCTACGCTTTTAATAAACATAACAAGTAAATAAATACACCTAGATATTTCACATTGCGCCATCCAGTCCCACACTAAGCAAAGCTTGTACCAGACAAAAGATGTGCCAGCCCTACCCGCTCGGACGCAGCGAAGGCGCAGGCACACTATTGATCATAGATCACAATGATATCTAATGATACGGCGCGTGATCGATAAAGGGACGCTGCCCACCGCGGGAGACCCTTCCACACCGCTGGTGCGGCCACGACCGGAGTAGGGTTGGCAAAACTGTGTTCAATTTATTTAAATAAATAAATAATTTATTCGCAGAAAGATTTACAACAACTTAACATCACTGGTAGTTCCAAAACTAAGTGATCCTGTCTCTTGGGAACTGGAGTTGATCGTTTACTGTGTTTTACGGTTGTACGATTACTTTACACTGCACAGATACTGGCAAGAGTGAATTTATTAGTAGTAAGGTTTTTGAAGCACTTTATTGACTTTTCGCAAATGTAGACAGGATGCGTAAAATTTATATTATTTATACTATTAATTTTATATTTTAAAGTAGATTGTAGACTCCAAACATTTATGTTGGTACTTTGGTATTGATAGATGAAAACTTTAGACTCCACATTGTAGAGCGTTGGACCACTACGTATAGGTAGGTTCACACCATCCTGTATTTAAATAAATCTAAAAAATTAAACGGCAAACACAAATTACAGTTAATTCAACATATTGCTAAGAATAATATTAAAACATAATTAATCATGTACCATTCATTGAATGAAATAGATCATGAATTATATTGTCGTCGAAAAAATATTTGTCACCGCTTCCAAGTTGACAACCCTATAGTTTTTTTTTACTCTATAGAGTTATAGCAGCGCCTTCTGGACTTCCTATAATGCGCCGACTAATTGAGATAACTTTTTAATTTATACGTTTCCTTCCCTTTTCACGTCATTAATCTCCCTTTGGTTTTTCTGAATCGGTTCTTTGATAAATATTTTCGTCCGATAAATCATGTGTGCTGTGTTTTTTTTGTGTAAGTACTTTGTTTTTTATTTTGTTTGGCTTTTTAACAATGGGTACTTAGTTACATAGGTAGGTACTTTTTTTAAATAATCCTCGTGCCTTATGGTGAGCTAAATATGCCTGTTTTACGAGTAGATTCACCATAAAATAGTCGAGTGGC